GCGTCAAGTTGAATACGGTGTATGAGAACTCACTTCCTTAGCTAGGAATTCTTAAATATCCCTTGAAATTTTCAATAAATACACATACAAATAATACTGTCTTATCGTTGGCTGGAGCTTCAGCAAAACTTGTTTTATGATTGCCTTCTCAGTGATTAGGAGTTAGATTAGAGAGAGTTATTTACAAGAATAGTATATACGTCTAGTATGAATGTTTCGTTTTATTGAGTGAGGCTTTTGGACTGTGTAGCCTATTTACTATATAACTCAATAGGATATGAAAAGAAATAATTAACAAATTTATACTAAATAAACATTATTTATATACAAAAAATCCCTAAACAAACTAAAACAGATACAAATTATAAGCAAAGATAGGTAGTGGCTAGCAGTGGAATCTCGGACACTCGTTTCATCCTATCATGCTTGTGAATTAAGGTAATATCGATGCAATACGCACAGTATGCACATATGCCAACAAGAGACTGATCAATTGCAGTGCTAAACATCAATGGGAAGACTCAAGTACACAATACCAAGTGAATTACAGATACAAATTATTTATTGAATAGGAAATAATTATGAAAAATTTAAAAGGTCAATTAAAGAAATCTAAAATGCTGAACGTTTGACCTTATCATATGTTATGATGATTTTGTTTGCTATACGATAAGTCTGTATATAGGCTTTATTATTGTTCACTAGGGTTATTTTAATGACAAAACACGTAAACGTCATATGAGAGAAACTTTACTACATACTCTCTTTAGATACCCACAAGATAAATATCATCTTTAAGAGTTGCGTAGTAAACTATATATATATATATATATATATATATCGGTTTAATACAATATTATTGCCACAATAGTTGATAGTATAATTAAATCCTCAAAATATTTATTTATTCTTTCAGGAAAAAAAGTATTTCCCTTGACTACTAAACGGTATATTGACTTCCTATTAACAAATTGTAAATATTTTAATATCAAGACAAATTATCCATTTACAAATGTTATATCCTTAGTCAGTCAGTAGTTGTTGTGATTCGAATCCAATTCACTTGACCTGAATAAGTCTGTTGGTATTGATGATGATGAATAATAATTGTATGATTCAAACATAGATTACATAAACCAGATAGACTTGGACAGGATAGTATGTAAACTAATAGTTTTCGAAGATAATATGATTATCATTAATCATTTGAATGAGACTACTAAATTGTTTCAGTAGGATTTAATAGTTTAGATATTTGAATTGATATTTATTATTATGAAACTATACATTTAACGATGCCAAAGATTGTCTCATATCGATCTTTGGACAGTAAAGTCCCATGTATTGTTTTTCCAGACAGTGTACCACTTGATCAAAAAAATCCGTAAGCCAACTATGCTGAAGAATTCGTCAGCGACCTCACAAAGTACTCCTCTAAAAATTCTTCAAATCAATAAAACTATAGCAAACTATATTTTAAGCACTAGATTTTATCCAAACTTTTAACTTGCAATGGACAAGAATTAAAATAAGAATCAAGATCTATCCATTCCATTTACTTTATCTAATGTTTTATGCTCTTGGGAAACATTATTCGTACCTCCGCTTACATTTATCATGTCATATAACTTAGTAACTCATTAATTTACTGTCTTCGAATGTCGACTAGTCAGAAAATATAATGCATATCCCAAGTTATGTAGTCATTATCGCTTATCTGACTTTACATAGAACAAAATTTCAGTTGGAATTGTTTATGAGTTACACTGCTTTTCAGAGTATTAAATATCACACTTATGTAGGATTGAATAGCTTGAGAGCAACGTTGTTGTTGTTGTAGATGATCTCTGTGCTGAATACAGAAATTATCACTCAAAAGATTATTATTAAGTAACTAATTATTAATTGTGTAATGTTTTATGGCCTCAAACAGTTAAATCCGGTATTTCTATATCCTTGACTAATTCTTCTTGTCCTAGATATTTGTTCTTCTTACTTATATTGTTATACTAGTCCTATTCAAGACAACTAAGGTTATTCTCTTCAAAACTGGGTCTATATTTTAAATTAGACTAACGTTCCTTCCTAACACTTGGATTCTTTGAAACATACTTCATCATCCCGATAAGGGACTAGCATGACAAGCCGCGAAGAAAAACGAATATCTAATACATTACTTACATTGCAGATAACAATCCATCCCTATCGAAAGTATAGTTGTGACTAGAAACACGAACAAAATATTTGAATAGTAATTGTTCATAGCCATCAGTCTTTTGTCTCTCATATCGTGCCAAGATTCGTTGAATCACGCTAAAGATACATTCATCTCCAAATAGTGTTATTCAAATTACCGGCACACATATCTACTCACAAACTGGTGGAAAACTTACGAGGATATTCTCTTCCTAATTTGAGGTGTCGGGTTTACACTGACCTATCCTAAAAGTTAGTCAGTGTATCATCTGAATGCGACTGGTATTGGTATAAAATAATGGAGGGAAAAAGGATAGGATATCCCTTATGATATAATGTTAACGAACAACGGTATCAAATTCTGGATGAAAAAAAACTAGTTTTCTTGCTCTTAATTTCCGTACTCCGTTACCTATTACACAATAAATATACATGAAAGCCCAATAACAGATCACTGGATTATATTTAGAAGTAAACACCCAATTTTTCTACTTAAGCAACGACTCCTAATTATTTCATAACAGGAGTGTTCAAATTCCACTCATATTTTCTATGTACTGAGAAATTTTTGGCGCATAAAATTGATCATGGACAAGTAATGGATTCCACTTACTAGCACACATGAAATGGATTAATGATTTTAACAGTTCAGTACATCAATCGACAGAAAACTTGCTTTAGTCAATGTCAACTAGAACCAGCTGTTCGGTAGAAAAACCCCAAATGTAAAGACCATACTGTCAACCAAAAGAACGCCAGCAGAAACCTGTAATCTAATACCTAGTTTAAAGGTGTTGCCTTAAAGGTTTACTCCTGAGATTTTTAAGGATGGTGGTCCATTATTAGCAATGAGACTAACCGAAGTCTTAGGTAGAATTTGGGAACTGGACGTAATCCCATCTGACTGGTCTCAATCACTGATTGTGCCAGTCTATAAGAAAGGAAAAAAGTCCTCTTGTGACAATCACAGAGGAATCAGTTTGACTAATATAGTGTCTAAAATATTAGCTTCAATAATACTTCGACGCCTAATCAAAGCTCGTGAAGAGCAGATTAGAGAAAACCAGGCCGGTTTTCGACCTGGACGTGGTTGTATAGATCAGATATTCACACTACGTCAGGTTCTAGAACACAGACACACATTCAGACGCCCCACAATGGTAGTATTTCTCGACCTTAAGGCGGCATTCGACTCTGTTGATCGTGAGGTTCTATGGCAGTGTTTGTCACTGAAAGGAGTACCAAAGAAGTACATTAACCTTATAAAGGCTCTCTACTCGAACACAACTGGTCGAGTGAGAGCTTATGGCGAACTGTCATCAGAATTGATTACCTCAAGTGGTGTTCGTCAGGGCTGTCCACTCTCCCCATTCTTGTTCAACTTTGTGGTCGACGTACTTTTAGAGATAACACTCTCCTCATCTAAATTTCCAGGGGTTGAACTTGTACCGGGAGGTTCACTTGTTGACTTAGAATATGCAGATGACATAGTTTTATTTGGTGAAGACGCTGCCAAAATGCAGAGTCTTCTGACCACTCTAAGCAACAATGCAAGCATGTTCGGCATGCGATTCTCTCCCTCGAAATGCAAAATGTTGCTTCAGGATTGGGTTACACCGACACCCGAACTAGTGATAGGGAGTGAAGTAGTTGAGTGTGTCGACCGCTTCACTTATCTTGGAAGTCTCATCAGCCCTTGTGGTTTAGTGTGTGACGAAATCTCAGCACGGATACAGAAGGCTCGACTAGCTTTTGCCAACTTGCGCCATCTATGGCGTAGGTGAGATATCCGTCTATCAACCAAAGGACGTGTTTACTGTGCAGTAGTTCGTTCCGTCCTACTTTATGGCAGTGAAACATGGCCGGTAAGAGTAGAGGATATCCGTAGGTTACCAGTATTTGATCATAGGTGTCTTCGAAACATTGCTCGTATATCATGGGATCATCGAGTAAGTAACACAGTTGTTAGGAAACGGGTACTAGGTAAGGATGGCAAATCAATTGATGAAGTAGTGAAACTTCATCAGTTGAGATGGCTGGGACACGTGTTACGTATGCCCATCGACCGACTGCCTCGACGTGGTATAGGAGTAGGTTGGAAGAAAGCTAGGGGCGGCCAAACCAAAACATGGCACAAGTCCATGAAGTCACTGACAAGTGAACTGAGTCATGTTGGTAGGTGTAGACTACCTGGTTGGGGACTGCGAGATGATAGCAACCGATGGTTAGAGACCCTGAATGACATGGCTCAAAATCGTTTGCAATGGCGCAGGTGCATCCACTCTGTGTTCTCCCAAATTCTAATCTTCTGAATTCTTCATGTCCCTTTTTTCCTCTTTCCAAATTTATTTCACTGGATTATACTCTTTAAATAAAATCTCCAAACCCTAATCTTCCCGATTACTGCTTATACTCTTATTACCTCTACCACTACGGGATTTGAATCGACAACTGCATCTCTGTGCTAATGTGGTGTGGCAACTCGAACTGATGTACGTACGTAAGAAGTTCTACGTTGTTACTGACTGACTGACTTAAAGTCTGTCTAGAAAAGGACTGTTGAAACCTAGTACTATGTTTCCCGAAAAACGTTTTTTCTTACCAGCAGTCATCTCTTACAGCTTGATAAAATACAGACTAAAAGACAGCATAACTCGCTCAACTTACGAATAGCTTGGATTACTTTCTACTAGTTCACATCTACAAACAGTGAACAAAATATCTAAATACTTCGCAAACAATTAAACTAAATGATAGCACGAAAAATACAATTACCATCATAGAAGTGTATGAGCAATGATCACTGAATTAGTTATTTCAAATATATTTGCAAAACAGGTATTTACATGATTATATTTCAGAAAATGTAAACTGCTCGAACTAAACCAACAGTCAGACCGAAAAGCAATTACAACAAACAATAAATGCAACCGTGTTTAAACACAAAACAGTTCTATTTCGAACAGTATTATACCAACAGAAGCACTAGCTGGTTTTACAGTATGCATTTTATCAATCAAAAATAATTAAATTAGTCCCATAGAAACATGAGTTAGTAAGTCATCTGTAAAGACCGAGATAAGTTTGAATATCGGTCGATCATTTTGTATCAAGGAGTTTCGTATTGAAGTAATTATTTGCAGTAAAATGTACAAGGCCCATATCAACCAGCTCGTCCAGATGTTGGAAGAGGTGCGTGTGATGAATTGGAGAATAGGGACTTATTTGTTCCAGTACCACTAGATCGCCAGAAGTTACCACTAGATGAATTACTCCCTCTTTTTTGGCCATATCCAAAAGAACGTTGATTGTGATATCCTGTTCTTCTGGGATACTGCTGTGGAACAGTACCAAAAGTTGCTGAATTGAGGAGTCTTTCGTCCCGTCTGTTCATTCCTTGAGGATTTAGACTGAATAAAGCACGATTTCGTTAGATTAGCAAGCAGTAGGCAAAAATCAACTAGAAATACCAAATAATAGACTAATAGGTACTAACAAACGGAAACCATCTAGTTTATCATAACCGGTATATGATTTTGTGACTATGATAAGATTAACATTAAACATGTAAACAGGGCAAAAACGCTCTAGTGATAAACAGAAGTATAAAAATTGAAAATTAAATATAACAAACTAACAAATTTAGAATACTCCACTCTAGAAAACCTAACCTATAAGAAATTTTACTTTATGAATGAACATATACAATTAAGTGTCTGGAAGGAAAAATGATCACGTTTCGGGTGTTAAGTGAACCAAACCTCAAAGCTTGTTATAGCCCAAAGCCGCCAATCAAAAGCAGCGAATTATCGACAGGACCAAGGACGCGTAAAACACGTGCAAGCAGCCTAGAGTCTTGATTGGTCCTGCTTTCCGCCTAGCCCAGCCAGTTCAGAACACCAGTCTCAGCCTGTAACATGAATCATATTTCAAACATACTGAGTTTATATACCAAGCAAACAGACCACAACGTACCAATAAAATATAAAACATTTGTACAAGAATTAGCCAGATGTGGCTGTGAATGAGGGAGGCAGTGACTAATAGACGGAATAATTCAAGAATGGAAAATTGTATAATAACAGTTTATAGGTTAAAATAAAGCTTATGATAAGAGACATAAATATGCATAGTTTAGTTAATTAACAATTATACGGTAAAAATTTACGTATAGTATTGGTCCACAAATGGATCCCAAAAATTACCACTCATTGTTCTTATCGGGGCATAGCAAAGCTCCAAACTTGACTGAATAAGAACAACAATATTCACAAATGTGTTAACCACTAGCATATCCTATTCACAGTACATGACATGACTCCCATAAGAGCTACATAGTGGATTCCAATACTAGATGAAATAGATTATTGATATTACCTACTGAACTGAATAAGACTTTTGGGATAAAAGTCACGTATGATCTCAACGCCACCATCTTTTAACTGCCACGAAAATCAGTCCGACAAAATTAGTTGTAAATATTTGGAGGCTTATATCAGTTTGAAATGTTACTAGTAACTTAATTCTGAGAGGTGGGACTTGCTTTGTCTACAGTTAACGACTTATAATCAAAATACTTATGCTAACAATGTAAAGCACGTACCTGAATTTAGTTGTAGTTTCCAGCGCTGTAAAACATCCTTATGTAATTCGACAACAAAGTACATATTTACGCACTTAACTTCAAGTATCCATGAAATACATTATCCAATTATACACACTAAACTAGAACAACGTTTTAGTCGCCAACCCTAAAGTTGGAAATCAGATATCTCGACATCAATGGTCACTGTCTCTTGATTTCATCGATAAGGAAACCATAAAATCCTTAGATCGGTTGTGAATACAAACTAAATCTAATTATCAAATTGGTGCTTGTGTAGTTTACAGCAGGTATCGAAATACTTTCTGACATGAAAAATTGACAAAACACGTTGTCTTAAAGGCATATTTTGAAAAAAAAGAAATAAGGATTTCAAATGAAATTATTACTTACCCATTTGCGCGGTCCATCATCTCGGAACTAATAGTATCGAAAAACGACTTGGATTTATCATAGCACGTGTTTTCATCCTCAGTTGTGCTGCTACCATCATTTTCCGCGTTGTCGACGGAAGTACCTGACGAACCTGTTTTCTATAAACAGAAATCACAGTATATCCAACACTTACAGTACTGATCGTTATTTTTTCCAACTCAGCTGCAAGTTCTGCGTTAGCTCTTTCATAGTCATATTCTACCGAAAAGTTGGTGTGCTCATTTACTGTAGATGCATTTGACCTGAATTTAGGCCAATCATGACCACCCGCTGACCGACCACCCCAACCACCATAAGTATGCCCAGAACCCCTGGAGCCACGATGGTTTGCTGACCATTGTTGACTATATCCTCCGCGTCTATCTCTTGAGTAATCATTCCCCTGATAATAATTAGGTGTATTTTTGTGAGTGTCACCCTTTCTAACCCCTTGATCTCGGTTAACCCATGACTGTGGGTAGTCGTTATGCACACCAGATCCTAAGACGGCACGATGTCTAGAAGGACCTAGTCCAGACTCTTGAACATCCCTAGAACTTGTACCTCCTCTTCCAGATGTGCTGAAAATCCCTGGGTCTATGTCGCTACGCATATCCCCAAATGGTCTTTGGCCACGTGTATCAGAAACCTGGGGGCTATCAGCATGAACGGTCCCTATAGGAGCCGGCCGACAACCAACTGCAGGCATCTGGTACGAAGAATTGTTTGGGTAGGTATTCTGATTTAGGCTATCAAGTGAGACAGATTGAGATGCTGGTATGGGAGACAATTCTGAGCATCCAGTAGAAACACGACTAGGATTAAGATCTGCAAGGAATAGAGTAACAAAGTGAAAACCCACCCAAGCGACCTCTACTTTCATTAACTGGGAGTCCAGGAGGGTGGGACAAAGCAGACTAATTACATAAATAAGTAGAGAAAGTACATACCCCAGGTGCTGCACTAACGATTGCAGAGTCTTCATTTAAAAATACAGAAGATTGCACGACACGTACATCGTCTAGATCCCGGCCACGAAACACCACCTGATTATACTCTTCATTCCGAGGAGCAACTGGTCGCTCACAAGGGCGGTCCTCAGTGCCAAAAGACCAAACTGTAATAATGAAACTAAGAAAGAACATTTAGTACCCTTTGAAAGAGTAATAACAGGTTCGTTGGGCGTGTCAAAATCTATAGAGTGAAGGTTTCCTTCATATCTTATCTTAGCCTTAGATATTATACTGACGCGACAGCCTATAATCGACAAGTCCGACGCATTCATCACAAATGGAGGTCAAGACTGACTAGGGCGCTAGAAAAATGTACTGATACAAACAAAACACCTAAAAATGTGAATTACAGCATACACATAGTTGAACAAAACATTTCCTTTATATAATGATTATGCCCTATTCTTGTAATTATTTTGTACAAATACATGTACCAATTCTTCAAGAATCCAGTTAAAACTGACCAGTGTAGGAGAACCTGAGTAAAGGTAAAACCACACTTATTTCAAAGTATATACAGTTTTCTACTGAGTTAATACTGATACATTTTCATCTTTTCTCACAAAACGTTGAACTGCTTGAAGAATTTTGTCACATTTTCACATACTTTTCAGCCAACTTTCTGTATTCGGACCTTGGATGCTCTTTTACTAAGTGCTCTTATGAACAATAGTTTGTGAGTGGAGAATGTCAGATATAGCAGTCTGTATAGGGAACCGTCGCCGAATCTTCTTTTAATCTTTGATCATTGACACGGTGAAGTTTCAGTGCTTTCAGTCATCGAATCGGGATTAGTTTCTTAGTTCAAGTGCCTCATGAATGTCCTCTGGACTAACTTAAAAAAAGAAACGCATTTCTTGGAGTAAAAGTACGTTAAAACTACAGCTTTCGGGAAATATGGATCTTCCTCTTACTACAAACAGTTTCAGATGGTATGGAAATAAGGTTATCATATTGAAGTCACTCGGTAAATCCAGGCTATGCCTACGGTTATTTCAAGTGAGTAGCACTTACCATTCATTATTCTTTAATGGAAGCACGTTGCTAGCTACCTTGTCACAGACTACGTACAAGAACCAGTAAATCTTAACGATATCCATATATCGCCATATCGTTGGCTAAATGAATATGTGGAGACATGACTGACAAGCTTATTTTGTAAATAGTTTTCAATGTTATTTCTATTTGTTTTGTCAATTTTTCACTGTATGTACATTTATCATTAAATGACTGTACGTGTTGTTTTAGTCAATGACCTTGAACACTTTTTTTCCGCTGTAATTCGAACATAGCGTGACATATTCTTACTGGCTAACAAATACATCACTACGCACTCATCCCTCGTTCTATTCCCATTTGTGATTGAATTAGCTGAATTCTAAATCAAATATTATCATTATTTATAGACTGTAATTGGAATACATCACTTTCTACGTTGGATTATATCACCAGAGAGTTTGCCAACCTGTTTGGAATTATCAAACATTTATAATTGTGGGTTTACATTACCGGACCGAATCAGAACACGCAGCGTTTGTTCAATTTAAGTAACGTCCCGAATTTTTATTGTATTTGTAATAATTAACTGTATATATATTAATATTACTATTGATCTTTAGTAACTTTATTTTATAATTTTTGCATTCATATTTGTCTGGTCCACCACAATTATTTGGTGAGCCTCGATTTTTCTTATAGACATTTACTATATATATATCTACATAATTTTTTTTATTATTATTAATCGGCACGACACCATATTTTTGTTTTTGTCATTATGAACTCTCCGGGTAAACTTATTGATATTGATAGTTCTCCAACCAACCTTCTAAACTATCCACAACCAGAGGATAATGTTTTAAACTCAATCAACGCTATCGCGGAACTAAGATTACCAACGTACGGTGTTAATAACCCCAGGATCTGGTTTGCTCAAGTAGAGGCACTATTTTTGGCGAGAGGTATACGTTCACAAGCGACTAAATATGCCCACGTCGTCGGTGCACTACCTATTGAAGTAGCAACGGAAGTTGGCGACCTTATTGACAACGTACCAGAAACTGACCCTTATGACAAGATAAAAGCTGCAGTAATCCAACGCACATCACTGTCAGACGAAAAACGTTTACAACAACTGCTTACCTCGTGTGAGTTAGGGGATAAGAGACCTTCACAGTTACTCCGACACATGCGACAGCTCGCCGGCCCTTACAAATTAGACGAGACGCTGCTTAAACAGATGTGGTCACAAAGGTTACCTCATAGCGTCAGACAAATTCTCAGTGTATCAGGAGCCTCTGTCAGTCTTGATGATTTAGCAGACATGGCCGATAGGATGATAGAAATATATCCCGATAGTCGGGGAATTTACGCAGTACAACCCGCCAGTAGAGATGCCATGAACCCTATCCTTGACATGCAGCATCAAATGGCACACTTGACACGTCAGTTAGCATCACTGCAGGCGACTGTCTCCACCATCCGTTCTCGATGCCCCAGATCTAGGTCCAGAAGGAGATCATTATCCAGACATCGTCATTGGTCACCTAAGCGGGCAGCTGGGATGTGTTGGTATCATTCGAATTACGGCGAGAAAGCACGTCGTTGCACAAAACCGTGCAATTTCACTACAAGCAAGTCAGACCAACAGGGAAACGAAGGGGCCAGACAGTAGTAGCGGCAGCTGTTACTGGCCAACATGTCAGCCGCCTTTTCCACATCAGGGATCGTATTTCTGGCTCAGACTTTTTAGTCGATACGGGAGCAGAAATCAGCATCATCCCACTTTATCTCTCACGCAGACAACATGCGTTGAGCACAAAATTGTCCTTGGTAGCGGCTAACGAATCAGTTATCAAAACTTATGGAGAACAATCTCTTATATTAGATCTCGGGCTCCGTAGACGATTCACATGGGTATTCATAGTTGCTGAAGTCAAACGACCCATTCTCGGAGCCGATTTTCTTAGTGCGTACAACCTTTTAGTTGATATGACTAACAAGAGATTAGTCGACACAAACACACGTTTACAAGTAAATTGTACACTCTCCAACGACAACGAGATCCATGGTGTTCGTATAATGAAACCTGTGAACAATATCTTCAACGACATTTTAAAAGAATACCAGTGCATTATGAAATCAGATTACCAGAAGGAAGGTAACCCACAACTGGTACAACACCATATCACTACCACCGGACCACCTATTAGCGCCAGGGCGAGAAGATTACCACCAAGCAAGTTGCAAGTAGCGAAAAGAGAATTCGAACACATGATGCAACTTGGAATTATCAGACCATCCAACAGCCCCTGGGCCTCTCCGTTACACATGGTACCTAAGAAGGACCAAGATTGGCGTCCGTGTGGTGACTATCGACGATTAAACAACCAAACCACCCCGGATAGGTATCCTATTCCACATATACATGACTTCGCGTTAAATTTACATGGTAAATGCATCTTCTCGAAACTTGACCTCGTGCGTGCATACCATCAAATTCCAATGGCACCGGAAGACATTGAGAAAACAGCCATAATAACACCTTTTGGTTTGTTTGAGTTTCTGAGGATGCCATTCGGATTGAAAAACGCTGCACAGACTTTCCAGCGATTCATGGATGATGTCACAAGAGGTTTAGACTTCGTATTTGCCTACATCGATGATGTTCTCATTGCAAGCTCATCTTTAGAAGAGCATATTCAACATGTCCAGACCCTTTTTGAACGTTTTAAAAAACATGGCGTCGTCATCAACCCTTCGAAATGCATATTTGCAGTTCCAGCCTTAGAGTTTTTAGGACATTACATTGACTCTCAAGGCATCAAACCACTCCCAGAGAAGGTTGAAGCGATTACCAATTATCCCGAACCAACCTCGGTGAAGTCATTACGACGTTTCCTTGGTATGTGTAATTTTTATCGCCGTTTCTTACCACATTGTGCTGAAGTATTACAGCCATTAACCGATCTGCTGAAAACCGACAAAAAAAGTACGAAGAAAGAGAAGACTCAGACATTCAACCTACCCCCTGACGCCAAAACAGCATTCGAGAAAGCAAAGTTGATGATATCTAATGCTACTATGCTACAGCACCTAAACACCGATCCCAGAACAAACCTTATCCTCTGCACTGACGCCTCCCAAAAAGCAGTAGGAGCAGTATTACAACAATGCGTTAACGACAAGATTACTCCTATAGCTTTCTTTTCCAAACGATTATCACCAACTCAAGAGCGTTATAGCACCTTCGGACGCGAACTTCTGGCTATGTACTTAGCTGTAAAATACTTCAACTTCCTGCTTCAGGGACGTGATTTCACCATTATGACTGATCATAAACCACTTTGCTATTCTTTCAACACGTCCTACGACAGACATTCTCCACGGGAAGCCAGACAACTGGATTACATTTCTCAATTCACTACGGACATCCAGTTCATCAAAGGCTCCTCCAACATTGTCGCTGACGCTCTATCTAGAAAGGATATCAACATGTTGGTACACAACCACAATATCAGCCTTGAAGCTTTAGCTAAACTACAAGTGGACGATGCAGATTTGAAGACCTGCGAAGAGAAGTCTTACTTGAACCTTAAACCTGTACCCATTCCTTTCTCAGATGCATCTATTATTTGCGACACTTCAACGGGTAACAATCGCCCCTTTGTGCCACAACCCTATCGACGGAAAATATTTCAACAGCTACATGGACTGTCGCATCCAGGCATCAGGGCTACCACGAAGCTTATCACAGAACGCTTTGTTTGGCCAAAAATCAATTCGGATGTTAAACGTTGGACACGTAACTGCCTCCAGTGCCAACGCAGCAAAATCCAAAAACACACTATCAGCCCGATCGGGGAATTCCCTATTCCCGACAAACGTTTCCAGCATATTCATTTGGACTTAGTTGGGCCACTGCCTCCGTCAAACTCCTTCACCCATATTCTCACTGCAGTGGACCGGTTCACAAGATGGGCCATAGCATGCCCTATTGCGGATACTTCCGCAGAAACAGTAGCCAGTGTATTTCTTGACCGTTGGGTAGCAAATTACGGTGTACCCTCTATCGTCACTACCGATCGCGGTCCCCAATTTCAATCTGTCCTTTTCCAGGAGTTTACTAAACTTCCAGGGGTCAACCATATTAAAACCACAGCTTACCACCCAGCAGCTAATGGCATGGTTGAAAGATTCCATCGCCAATTAAAAAGCTCACTGATGGCGCAAGCTGACACATCAAAGTGGAGCGATGCCTTACCGCTTGTACTCCTTGGTATTCGTTCAACTATTAAGGAAGACATTGGATGTACAGCCGCCGAGTTAGTCTATGGCACAACTCTAACGTTACCCGGCCAACTAGTCAACTATGAACCTACAACGCACGGGGATTCTACTCACTTCGCAAGCCGCCTATTACAAATGATGCAGAACATTAAAGC